CAACATACGCGTATAACTGTCGTATTTAATTACCTGTTAAAATTTTTCACTGTTTTTAATTAGCCTAACAACACTGAAAAATTCTAACAAACAAACGCGACAGCCATACGCTTATGTTGCAAATGAATCTAACCTGTTTTTCTTTCGCTTTCATGACGTTAATTAGTTAATTTCAATTAGTTAATTTAATTTTCATGACGTTAATTAGTTAATTGGTCCCTTTGGCATAGCGCAAAGCATAAATTATTTACACCAAAAAATGTAAGTAAATTAAAAGGCTGCTGTAAGTTTCTCATCACTGCTAATTGAACTCTGGCAAAATACTCATCGTGTCGAAAACTGAGGCCGGATATCCTTTTTTTTCCTCTCGATCCACAGAAAGGCAAGCTTGCAAATTGAAATCCTCGCCCTCTCTAATCGGTTTTTTTTTTTTCATATCAATGTCAAATAGCATTGGACGTAGTTTATCTTACCCTCTCTCCGGAATAAGCTTAATTAACGTAATTAACAAGTTGTGACGGTTGGTCAAAATAGGTTTGGCGTTGTCGATTGAGCATTTGGGTCGGTTTCGTCCGAGCTGAAAATTTGAGACTGCCGTTGTCTGAGTCCTTTTCAATCTATTGCTTGGTCAGGTATTGAAAAGAGTTCTTGGAAGTTAAAGAGCAGCGCAATGGGTTCATTCAGTTCAAAAATGCGCCAATCTACATCTGAAAATACCGGTAATACCACGAAAATGTCCGAGTCTGAAGCGAGTCCTGGCGAAGCAGCAGCAAGTGAAAGAACGACCGGGCGAACAGATGTAACGAACGGGGAAAAAGCAAAGATTGGCAACATACATCAAGAAAAACCAAAGGTTGTTCAGTCGTTTGGTTGGCTTGTAGAGACCCCAGTTATACTTCACACAACTGCAAAAGAGATCAAAGACAAGGGGAAAAAACCTACAGAGGATCTTAAAGGTAAATCGATCAACGTCGCAACCTACAGCGATGGAAAATATCTGAAAATGGCCGAGTTGGCGTTGCCCGCAAGTTCCACTACAAAACCAAAAAAGCAGCATTCACAGGTCGTTAACTCCTCTTCATCCAGCTCGTCAGACGGCAAACATGGGAGCGATATCATCGCAAGTGGCTGCGAGGGAAATACGCGTAAGAATCAGATAAATTTAGGCCAGAACAATAACGAAGATTTCGCAACGACCGCGCGTCCCGGAGGAACGTACCCTGTCGGTTTCGGAGTTATCGGCAAGAAAGATTCCGTTGACAAAACTTTTCAGGCAGAAAATGACATTCGCTCCAGCAAACGTCTATCGCAAGTAAGGGGAAAGTCTCCTGTATCATTCAAGGGAAACAAGTCTGCCAAGAAATAACCGTCGCAACACTGATTTACTGAGGAAATTCTACAACATTGAAAAGAAAAATGATCTCAAAACAGTTTTCGAAGCAAAAAGAAAAAAGTTATAAAAACTATATTTTAGCGATCCGACCAGAAAAAGGCCAAAACCCTGTCTACTAAAAATCACCTCAAAACTAAAAGAAAAAAATAACAATAATAAAAAAGATGAGGAGACAGATAAGAAAAAGAGAAGTACAGGAGGAAGAAAAACAAATCACATGTATGTTTGCGCTTTAATTTTTTTGAAGAAAAAACGTTTCAAAACTTCAGCTGGATCAGCGTGTGTTTATAACTCGTATATTTTCAATTTTTTTCAAATTGAATACCTCCGTAAAAAGCCTGGGAAAATATTCAAGGAAGTGAAAAATTGTGTTGCACGTTTACCCATTAGATAAGTGAACAAGATTTGTTTTATTACAGTGTAACGGGGCTTATTTCAT